CGATGGTGGCTTTGAGGGATTCGTCCTCCAAGTGTAAGGTGTTTGTGGATTAATTCACGATAGTCGCGAATTTGAGGCAGAACGTCTCTTCAACCTCGTCAATTCGCCCTTTCACCTCATCTAGTCCGTCCACATACTCCACCACGGTGGTCTTCATTCTAGCGAACCTTTCCTTGACAGCGGACATGACATCCGTTGAAGCGGCTCTCCTCTTGGCTCTACCGTGGGTCTCCTTCTCTTGGACGACCTTCTCTTGGAGAGCCTCACCAACAATGGCAATAGCGGTAACCTCTTGGTTCGACATTCTCTCGACCACTTGATATGCTCATCGATCTCTTTAAACAAACTCTTTTCTACTCGTGCTCTGATACCACTTGTCATAGCCTAACACTTGAGATCGAGACCATGTGGCAACTTAAGCTTCCTTTGGTTCGTTGGGTCGCCTAAGCTAAGCCTTTTTCTCAAGAATCGATCGCTCATTCACTAGGCAACTCGGATCGTAAAGAGAGAATGTTTAGAGAGAGAAGTTCAGGAAGGGAGTGTATTTCCATTGCTCAAATGTTGGATGATATAAATGAGGGGAAGAGCACCCTATCTTCTTCCCTATCAAATATAAGACTACCATCTACCATATTAAATATCTTAATTACAAATATACATTTTCAAGAAGTAGTTAAAGGCTTATTCCATTTCCTAGGACAATTTCGCGGTACATCGAGCCTTGAGAACCTCGGGACTATGACACTAGTGTCACGTCCCAGGTGTGCCCCATAGCTATACGACGTTCTTTTAATCATCTTTGGTGATATAATTGAAGCGGAAGCTAAGACTTAAGTTTAGACTTATAGTATGGATAAGACCCAAGTACTACAATTAACATGACTGAATGGGGATTTCATATTACCATTTCTTCCTCTATTTACATACATGGGCATCACCATCAAAAGACAGCATGAGGGGACCCAAAAAGTTACACTACCCGCCGTCACTAAGTGCCTCTATACATACGCCACCACTAACATCATGCCCATCGTCGCAATCCATACCAAAAAGTGACAATTATGACATCTTGACATGGCATCCCCATCCACACTCCACCAACACCATCCAGCTGAGTCTCGGTAGTCTCCTCCGGGTCTCTCTCCTCAATTGGGTCACTCTCCTCGCTGCTTCCACCATTTCCTTCGTTGTCCATGAACCGAAGAGGTCCTAACAGCTCGCCTCCAAACTTGACGTACCATGCAACAAAATGATACGGTAGCAATGGTGCCCGACCAACATCCACCCATACAACAGAAACATGTCGAGTAAACAACAATGTAGAAGTCGGAAAAGTTACATCTTCCCATGAGCTATCAAAGTATACGGGCGATCCATATTGGGACAATGGTGGGATATTCATTCTAAATATCTGAAAAGAGGTAAATCAATAGGAGTGAGCAATTGCTCAACAAGAGATGAAAACAAGTTCATAAATCTACCTATCTAACATACTCTTGATTCCTAGGACACACCTACATGAATTGCATTTTAGACAAACAAGTAAAATTGGTATTTCTTTTGAAAATAAGGTGAATCAAGCAATCATGTATCACATATGTCACACAAATCATATTGCATTGATGTACATATCATTGGGTCCACCCCCATCTCACGGTACAACCTTCAGGTCACTTCCAGCGCGCAAGCCGGACTTCCATGGCACGCTGACCATAGGCAGCCCACACTCTAGGGCATTTTGATTCTTAAAACCAATGCATTCTCCTCCCAACAACAACAACCCTCCATCGGGGCATTCACGGTTCATCATCCCACACTCCAGGGCATCTTGATTTTCAAAACCAAGGCATTCTCCTCCTGACAACAACAACCCTCCGTCGGGGCATCCATGGTCCATCAACCGTAGGCATCACATAAACATTGCCCCAATATCTCATACATAACCAGTACATGACACAACATGCAAATATGACAACTCATGTGTACATAACAACACGCCACTACCATAATATCACATTCTTTTACTCGTAGTAGCTTTCACAGCACATTCTAGATTCTGTCATCACATAAATAACCTCATTTATCCCATCATTTGACATCAAATCAAGGTCTATCATATCTCATTAGAAAGCTCATAATATGTACATTACATCTCCAGAAGACATCAAATTGAGATTCCAACGTTTTCACGTGAAAAATGGTGCATATTTGAAATTGGGTAAATTTGAGCAATTTTGCACAGTAACGGGAATCCTTTCAAAATAAATAGTAAATGAACTCCGAAAATTATAAATTTTAGATATGTTATAAAAGACACCTGGTTAAACATTTTTCATGAGAACTCAAAGTCCAAATATTTTTTAAGTACCTCATTTATTAGCTCAAAGACAGACCAAAAGCTGTTCGCTGGAACAAAACCTTTGTTTCCCAAAATCAGCTCTTCACCGTATCCAAATCATCTCCAAAAATTCTAAAACTTTTATATGTTGTAGAGGAAGAAGTCCTCAAGAACTTTTGTGATGAAGTTTGTTCAAAATCGTCCTAGAAAACTTTGTGGAAAAATCAAAAAGGTGTAGAGGTCATAGAAACAACAAATTCTGGGCAGATTAGAACGGGTCGAAAATAGGCTTTCGTACTACTCGAATCAAGTCCAAAAATTATGAAATTAATTATATTAAACTTAAAGATGTTTGGAACAACTTTTAAGAAGGAAGTTTCTTAAAATTTGGTCCACAAAAGTCTCTACAGAAATAACAAACCGAAGAGGTATAGAGAACCTGAATCTGGGTTTTCCAGAACAAAGAGTAAGAAATGAATCCGAATGGAAAACCACCAAATTTGATTCAACAAAACTCATACCCAGTAACTTGAATAGATATGCAACACCCATTTCCACCTCTATTCAACAACCTTTACCCATCTATGTCACATGCACTACAAGTTCTTGCCATAGAACACACATGCCAGACCATTTAGGGCTTAAACTCTAACATGCAAGGCCAATAGGGCCTTGTACACTCACATGCACACTCAAATCAGACCTGAACAGCAACATGCACGCCCATCTAACATCATAAAACCAACATGCAAGACCAAACAAATCATCCATAACAACAAACAAGCAAAACCAAGGGCATAGAGAGATGGATAGGCTTAGGAACAAGCATCATCTCCTTGCCTTGGGCTATCTAGGACTGGCAACACTTCCCCTAAGGTGCCGGCCACGCCAAAAACAGAAGAAAACGGGTAGAAACGGAGGTGGTTCGGCGGTGAGGGTGCGGCAGTGAGTGAGGGAGAGAACGGCGAGACGGAGAGGGAGAGAGTGAGTGTGTGTTTGAGAGAAAATGAGAAGAAGGAAGTGAGAGGGTGAAGAGGAGGTTCGGCCAAAGGGGGTAGAGGAAGTGGGGGAGAGAAAATATAATTAGTTTCCCCATCATGAGCCCAAGTTGAGTGTTTAACACTCTTTCAAATTTTGCATGAAATTCCATTGGGCAAAAGGGGTGGGAAGCCATCATTATTCGGCTTAAAAAAATTAAATTAACTAGAAATTAGGGACCCCATGTGGCCGGCCATGCAAGGGTATTATGGGCACAATTTTTGTGTCCCAATTGTCCAATTCAAGTGCACCTAATGTCCATTTGGGGCCTTGCTTAATGTCCATTAATCATGTACCTTCTTTGATCCCTAATCTTATACATATTGTCACATAATAAGTCTCTTAAATTGTCCAATGCATCCCAATGATTTTCTTGGGTCATAATGTATCAAGTACCTAATTATTAACGTCCCGGAAGTATCTCGATAATTTTCTAATAAATCTTTGGTCAATTCCGATAGCGATTTATATAATGCTATTACGAAATGTGGGATGTCACAACTAGCATGTGAGAAGTTTGATTCGCCCTATGAAAGTTTTAGATGAACCAACCGCGCCAGATTAGCGAAAAGGCAAGAACACAGTCACTGGCATTTGAATGTTCTGGGCATAAAGTAACAACGAATGCTCGGAAATTGAGGTAGTTACCATCAGATCTTGAATGTAAAGAGAACGTGATAGGATCATCCAAGCAGTTGAAGAAGACTTGGATTGATATGTGCACTTATTTCTTATTTCTTCTCTTTTATTTTCCTTTGAGAAACCAGCTGCTGCAGAAGAAACAACGATGGGCTGAGGGCTTAAATCTCTGAGGGCGTAAAGGCTTTTTTCTTCGAAGAGGTCCATTTGTTACATACTCGGTGACTTGCTTTTATTTCTTGGTGTCACTCTCGTTGAAAGTTCTAATTCACTTCATTTCTTGATAGAGGCGGCATGTTTGGTAGAGACACAAATGGAATCGTTGCTTCGACTTTGGATTTTGATTATGATATTTAGGAACGGATATGAAGAAATAACTAGTTCTTCGATTGGGTTTTAAAGCCAATCACATAAACCACATTTGGTTTTTCCGCGAAAACACAAATAATACTTTAATTTTTTAGAAGTTAAGAAAAAATTCGGAATGACTTTAAAGGCTGTAACATGTATTCTAAACAATTTTAGGTGTCGAAAATTCTATAAAAAAATATAATTCTGAGCTTTAGAAGTTAGGATAAGGATATCACAAATGACATAACTTTCCTACGATCCTTATTTAAGTGTCATAATATTTTTTTCGATTACTTGAATGTCATGACTTCTAAGTTTGGAACAAGTGATCAAAGAAGGGTTATGCTACTCAAGTGAATATTTTTTTTTAAGAGTCATCACACTTAATTGATTGAAAAAATAGTTATGACGGTCAAGTGAGTACCGTATGAAAGTTATGATACTTGTGATATTATTTTCCCTTAAAAGCTAAAACCCTCAACAAACGCTCATGTTTCCAAGTGAACTCTTACTTTATGTATCTCATACATTGAACACCCATTATTTTGGATTTGCAAATTATGTCTATATTTCAAAAACAAAAAAATTAGTTAGGGATAAACTTAAAGTACTGGAACTCAATTAAGTTGCATTGTGGCTGAATTACAACATCACATAATTGAAGGAGACAAAAGAAATTCTACCAATCTCGCGAAGAGCTTTACTCCTGCGACAATTATCTTATATGGAAGATTCTATAAACTATTTCATATTCATCTAAGAAGCCTCTTCACGAATCACGACAGACCATTTTCGGATGAATAAATTTCTACTTGTTTTGCCTCTTCTTTTCTTCGACTCGCCTCTTCCTTTCTTTGGAGAGCCGATTCGTAAAGCACTTGAGCGCGTCTTTGTTGGTGCATTCTCCATCAATCTCTTCAAGCTTACCGGTCTCCAAGTTTACCCTTGACACCCGTTTCTGCAATAGATTCTCCCCTATTTTCACGAGCTCATTTAGATTCTTCCGGGTCGCCTTATCAAGTGATAATTGATTTCTGGTCAAGGTGTCGTCCTGTTTCCAAGCAACCCGCGCGCAATCATATTAAAATAAGTCAAGTGATTATCAGCCAGTTTAAAGCGCTAAAATAATGATTTTCCCGAAGCCAAATCCTATGCCAGTAATTCAACTCATACCTGAATCCGGAGGTAATTTTGCTTGCAATCTAAGCATTGGAAGAGAGTAGACAAGTGAATATCGACCATATCGGAGATCCCGTCGTTGAAGATGTCAACCAACGGAGTGAAACCATTGTTATAGTTCCAATTGATAAGTCCCCATCTAGCGGCCTTAGCCGCACTATGCTTCCCTTTATGCTTAGCCGCACCAGTACCAGTACCGAGTGATAGCACTAGTATTTGATCGGTCTCTCTTAGATTTATGTTCTTGAACTCATCGTTTTGCAAGGGAATCTCTTTATTAATGTGGCTCAGAGCAACTAGGGTCTGCAAAACACAAAATTGCATATTGTTAGTTCTCTCTTTACTTCTTTATTTTGGCCTGACTTGTTGTGATAAGCTTTATAATAAATGAAACTTGATAACGTTTCAAAATAATCAAGAAAATACTTTCCTTGTAATTTACTGTCATATAGTCACACACCGAACTAGCGCATCTTATGAAAGTTTAGGAAATAGTATCGGTGAAATGCAAATGTATATATACCCGAACCATAGTTCTCGTTTTTGCACTTACGGGATTATTTGCAGCGACCCCGCCATCAATGAGATCAAACCTACGTGTCTCCCCGTTCTTGTCTCTGGTCTTGAAGGAGTATGGTGGGAGGAATGTGGGAGCTGCGGAGGTGCCGATGCAAACATCCGCCAACCGCGCATTCTTTAGAGGATTCGCTTTTGCCTGTCCCCCATCAATTGTAAGAAACTCAAAAGAGGCATAAGGGAATTCAAATTAAACTGACAGTACAAGCATCCATATCTATCTAGAGTCTGCGAAATCAGCGATGATGGTCAAGTTCGGGTTCTTACGTCTTTGGTGGAGAAGATGACCGGTTGGAGATGCTTGATGTCGAAAGTCGGGATGACGACGTTGGTCAAGGTTTCCTTGAGAGTGGTGTCTGGGAGAAAGCCATCGACCAGGGATCGCAACTTCTTTCCGTCGTACTTTGGCCCCATGGATGTCCGTAAAAGCCTTACTATTGAACTCATCATGCCACAGCGGCTGCTGACAAGTTGAATATAACATGTCAGAAACTTCCTTGAGACCGGGAAATAGTGAGCAATGATATCAACTTGGTAGTTGATAGATCAATTTTCTTATATTTTTTAGCTATATCTATCTTTTCTTTTTTTTGCTAAAACTTTTAGCTATATCTATCATTGCCTTTTACAGTAATAATATTGATAGTAATAATGCCTATATAAATATATAATAACAAGCTGTTCTTTGAGAATTGCCTCTAAAAGTGGCACATAGAACTCTAATTTATAAATCGACCAAAAAAACAGAACTCTAATTTATAAGGGATTGATAATTCTCCTTGCAATGAGCAGTTTTGTTGCACTATGCATTCATTTTGCTTCCAACTATGATCTTATTATTAAATTCATCATCTTATTGCGACTGTTTAAAAGTTGAATAAGACACGTTACCAACTTCCTTGAGACCGGGATAGAGTGAACAATGATATCAAGTGCTAGTCCAACCGATTAAACAAATCTACCCAATAAAAAGAATACACGTGTTAATAATTAGTAGTAAGTGACTTTACTTGATACGTCTGATTAATTACCAAACATCACTAAATAGTTGATAGATCAATTTTCTTATAAACTTTACCTACTTCTATCATTGCCTTTTACAGTAATAATATCTATATAAATATATAATAGGAAGCTCTTTGTAGGGATTGTCTCTAAAAATGGCACATAGGATTCTAATTTGTAAGCGATCAATAATTCTCCTTGCAAGGAGTACTTTGCTTGCGCTCTCCATTCATTTTCCTTCTAACTAGGATTTTGTGCTTGTCTCCTGAAGTACAATGAATTTTGTTATAAAAAAATAGCAATTATTGAAAATCATAAGATTTTCTGTAACTTTTTCTGTTAAGTATTTCCTTTGAAGATTTTTATTATTCCTCTCAATATTGAAATAACGCTGTTGATTACATATAAAATTTCCCTATGTCATATAACAACTAAAATTAGGAAATTTCTAATTATCATGAAGTCTCCATATATTGCATGATTTAATATATAATATGAACTAAGAATTTTGCCTTCAGTTTGTTTAAAAGACGAAGATCCATATGAAACGGTATACATATGATGAATAATTTACACTAAAATATATGTATTCCAATTTTATTCAAATAAAAAAATTCATGCCTGCACAACGAATGGACATAGTACTAGTTTATCTGATTACAGAATTTTAAAGCCAACTTTCCTTTTTAGATTATTTCTCGAATGTTCACATGACTCGAAGTAGAGGTGGCCACGGGCCGGTTTTGGCCCGGAACCGGCCCGGTCAAACCCGGGCCCGGCCCGTTGACCGGGCCCGCGGTTCGGAACCGGAACCGGCCCGTGGCATACGGTCCCGGTTCCGGTTCCTGAAAAACTTGAACCGGCCCGGAACCGCCGGTTCCGGGCCGGTTCTGCAAAAAAAAAAAAAAAAAAAAAAAGAAGCCTGCCGGTGCAGGCTACAGCACAGCCTGCAGTGCAGGCCACGCTGCAGCAGCCTGCACCCGCAGGAGAACGGGCCAACGGACGGCCTAACAAAAAAAAAAAAAATTTTGATTTATTTGCGGCGGGGCTCGCAGACGTGCGAGCCCCGCTGCGCCGAGCTTGCGGCCCGTTGGGGCAACGGCTACGCCCCAACGGGCATTTTGATAATAAAAAAAAAAAAAACACATAACCGTTGCAATTTTGCAACGGTTATGTTTTATTTTTTTTTAATTCTAAATTTTCTTCTATTTTTTTCCTATAAATTCTCTCAAATTCTCACAATACACACACAATTCTCTCAAATTCTCTCCAATTCTCTTCTCTCAAGTCTCAAATTTTCTCAATACTCGAAATTCTCTCAAATTCTCTGAAATTCTCTCAATTTTCTCAATCCACGCAATTCTTTCTTAATTCTCCCAATTAATCCGCTCAATTCTCTCAATCCATTCGAAAAATGGCAAGTGGAAGTCGAGTGCCAACTGGCAAAGGTAAGAATATCGCGACGGAATCCCATCATTCTTTTGATCCTCGTGAATATGCAGATTTTCAAGATGATGAAATCAACATTTTTCACGATGTGGAGAGCGTCCCGACGCAAGAAAGTTTTCATCCTCCTGTTGAAATATCTACAACAAAGGAAGCGGAACGGGAATTTACATCCGACATTTGGAATCACTTCACGAAAATGGAAAGGTTTGATATTGGTCAAAAAAGGTATGATATAATTTGTAAATATTGTGGAAAAATATATAAATATACAGGTGGACAAGGATATGGAACATTTAAACGACATCTTATGAGCAAACATCCAACTGAAACGGGAATCGATATTGGGCAACAACAAATTTCTGGGTACGTCAATCCTAACACTTCCCCTTTATTTCGTTTTAATGAAAAAACTTATAAGGAAGAATTAGGCAAATTTATTTCCGTTGAGCATTTAGCATTTAATTTTGGAGAAAGATTTGGTTTTAATGAATTTGTACAAAAAGCATGTGCTCCATAAGCAAAACGTGTTTCTAGAAATACAACTAAACGAGTAATTAAAGATCTTTACAAAAATGGAAAAAATGATTTACAAAACTTTTTTATGCAATTTAATGGATGCGTGCATATAGGTAGTGATATTTGGAGTGATCATTGGCAAAATCATTCTTACATGGGCATAACATGTCATTGGATAGATGACGAGTGGACTATTCAAAAAAGAGTTATTGCATTTAGAGTTTTCGATGATCATCATACGGCAAATAATATTTATAGACTAATTAGGCAAGTTTTAGAAGAATATTATTTGCTTAACAAAATTTTTTCAATTGGTTTTGATAATGCCGCAGCAAATACCGCTTCAATTGCCGAGTTAGAAAATATTTGTAAACCCGCTTTTGGTGGAAAATTTTTTCACATTAGATGTGCTTGTCATGTTTTAAATTTATGTGTACAAGATGGTTTGAAAACTCTTGATATTTTTCTTCAACCAATAAAAACGGCGATTCAATTTTTATGGAAACATCCCAAAAAAATGAAAGAATGGGGTAGATTTTGTAGAGATAATGGCAAAAAGCCAAAAAGATTTCCAAGAGATGTTCCAACTCGTTGGAATTCTACTTTCCACTTGCTTAGTGAATCTTTAGCATATAAAGATTTATTATGTGCATTCATTTCTAATAATATACCTGAGATTAATTTATACCCACAAGAGTGGCATATTTGCCAAAAATTTTTAGATCTTTTAAAGGTTTTTAATGATGCAACTTATACTTTGTCTGGTGTTTATTATCCTACTACACATTTATTTTTAGTAGAGTGTACTAATATTGTCGGAACTTTTGATGAATATGAAAATGATGTTGAATTACAACCTACTGTAGTTGCAATGAAAATGAAATGGCTTCATTATTATAGTGAAATTCCCATGATTTATTTAGTTGCTTGTGTTTTTGATCCGCGTTGCAAATTGGATGGCTTAAATGATTTTTTGCGTGCGTATTATCAATGTTTACATTATGATGTGACAAATGTTACAACCATAGTACGTGAGGTTAAAAACGTAGTAATAGAATTATATAATGAATTTTATACTAAATATAATTTAGGTGATATTAGATCTTCTCAATCTACGGAGATACAAAATGACAGTACAGGTAAAATTAGTAGAGGGTACCAACTTTTATTACATAGACAAAAAAAACAAAAGGGAGTAATAGGAAATATTTCTGAATTAGAGAGTTATTTAACCATTTTATTTGAGTTTACTGAAGCCGAAGGTGGTATAGATTTTTTTATTTTGGATTGGTGGAAGAGGCACGCAAGCCAATACCCAATCCTTTCTCTTATTGCAAAACAGATTTTTTCAACCCCTTGTTCTACAGTTGCGGTCGAACAAGCATTCAGTGCCGGAGGTAATATTTTGAATGAACATCGTTCAAGATTATATCCAGAATCAGTGGAGATGCAAGCTTGTGTTGCTGATTGGACGAAGGCTCAATACCGGCAACAAGAGATAGATCGGAATAATGAATCCGAATTCTTTAACGACGGAGATACTACCGCTACCACTATCGGTACTGGAACGGGTAGTGACGATTGAGGGTAAAAGAACTATTGGAGTTGGCAAATATTTCGGGAACTCTTGTTTCTCATACCGGGTACGCCCACGTGAGCTTAGGGAAACCGAAATATAATCCGACGATATGTGACCTCTGGTCCCCTGCGCACGGAATGCTTAGGTTTTGGGATAATTTTAGGGTATATATATTGTACTCCTTTTTTTTAAGATCGTTGTAACGAATTGTAATGTGCTTAATGATAATTTATTAAGTTGAAGCCCTCTCTTTCTCTCTTGTCTTTTTGTCCCCAAATTTGAGTACAATTTACATTTTAATCACAATTTATATTGAATAATGTTCTATCACAAGAATAGTATTTTTTTAATTTTTTTTTATTTTCATTTCTGTTTTTCCTTTTCTGTTTTTCTTTTTTTTCTTTTCCTTTTCCTTTTCTGTTTTTCCTTTTTCTCTTTTGTCTTTTTTCCTTGTTTCTGTTTTTTAAAATTATAATTTATATTTTAATTTTTTTTTTTCTTCCTCCGCGGCCGCCGGCCGGCCATGGCCGGGCCGGCGCGGAGGTCGCCGGCGGCCGGGCGAGGGGCCCTCGCCGGCGTCGGGCGAGGGCGGCCTCGCCCGGGCTGGGCGAGGCCGGCCTCGCCGACGCCGGTGAGGCGAGGCTCGGCCTCGCACCGCGGCGAGGCTCGACCTCGCGGGCGTCGGGTGAGGCCGGCCCTCGCCCGGGCTGGGCGAGGCCGGCCTCGCCCGACGCCGGCAAGGCTCGGCCTCGCCTCGCAACCGGCGAGGCTCGACCTCGCCGGCGTCGGGCGAGGCCGGCCGGCCTCGCCCAGCCCGGGCGAGGGCCGGCCTCGCCCGACGCCGGCGAGGGCCGCCTCGCCTAGAGGCCGGCGACCTCCGCGCCGGCCCCGGCTATGGCCGGCCGCGGAGGAAGAAAAAAAAAAGAAAAGGAAAAGGAAAAGAAAAAAAACAGAAAAAATAGGAACCGGCCCGGAACCGGTTCCGAACCGGAACCGGCCCGGAACCGGTTCCGAACGGTTCACGCTTGGCCACGAACCGGAACCGGTCGGTTCCGAACCGTGGCCACCTCTAACTCGAAGAATTATATTTAAAGAAAGTAGATAAAGGGTTAACGTGACTAACTTTTTCTGGGGGAATATTTTAGGACAATTCTCTAAGTAAAATTCCTTAATGTCACAGGCTGCAAACTTCGGACGATTTTTCTCATCTGGTGCTGTAATCATGGCCGTCACCAATCCACCTGTGCTTGTCCCTGCAATTATGTCAAAGTAATCTGCAATTCTCGACGCCGGTCCGTCCAATTCCTGTAATTTTCATAAACTTTAAACCACCACTATGATCACCATAAAAAGAAGAGGATTCATACACATTATTAATGCCCATGTTAATTCTATGACACTCTTTGACATAGCTTCCTAACAGCAGCTGCAAATGTAAAATTGAATGCTGCTATTTTCATAAGATGCTTTTCTTCATAGCTGGAGGACCATCAAAGCCTCAGTAGCTTATGCTGCTTTCGTGAGCTACCTCACCCAGCTGTCTACGCCAGCCGTGTGATCAGAATGGGAGACTGCCCCACTCGATAGTTCTTGTCCAACATCATCTACAAAGGAAACATTGACAAATAAAATAAGTGGGTGCCCTTACTTGAAGCTCGGATTCGAGAAAGGCAAGGACCATGCCGGGAATGATCCCTCTCACACCACCTCCATCAATACTCAGGACCGTCACCATCTTCCCGCTCAGAGATGCACTTCTCGCCATGGACAAGACTCAGAAGAGCTCGGCTTAAGAAGAATCAGAACACTGACTTGTCGTTTTGCAAATTGATAGCAATTAAAAGACAAATATTATCATAGGAGTATTTATAGCTTGAATGAAACTGGAATCTTCTTGGTAATGCGCTCTCTCTTGCGCCTAATCAATTATTGGGCTCTTTTCTTTTAGCGGCTTCTGTTTCTATCACGCCTTTGTTCACTATTCCAAAGTTTTTCTATTCACTTTAGTGAAAAAAAAGAAGGATAAAGACAATAAAAAAAGGGAAGGAAAAAGTTTGTGTTCTGTAGACTTTCCTTGGAGATGGCATGATTGATGATGATGTGGAGTTCTTCATTCCCATTTGTTTATCAAAAGTCACATTGTTTGTTTTCTCATGCGCGTGTATCTCGTGTATGTGCAGATTCCTATTATCATACATGCTTAGTATCCTTTAAGAAACAATTTAAAGCTTTGCATTTGGACACTATCTTTTATCCTCTACAATTATCAACAAAATAATTTGGTTTTCAAGCTAGATAAATAGACTTAACTAGCCGTTCATTGTTGTTTTAATCAACGAGTATGATTGCGTCACATTGATAAGAAGAATCGCAAGAGACATTATTAGATATATATATTTGTTGAGAATATGTCTCGAGTGTGAGCCCGTGATCAAACTAGGTCCAAAGTGAAGTTCATGGATTTCTTGATCATGGACTTAAAAGAAAAGAAAAGGGCCCGCAATAATCCTTTCTTTTTCTGTTGGAGGCAGTGATCTAATAATGAAAGTCCAACTTGGACTTTGTTTGAAATATGCAGAAATCAATTTCTGTATTGAAGTCCGCAAGAAAATAGCAAAACAAGAAAGTCCAATGTGGAATATGAATAGGAAAGTTCAACATGATTCGGTCAAACTTGGGTTTCATATATATATATATATGTGTGTGTGTGTGTGTGTGTGTGTGTGTGTGTGTGTGTGTGTTTCCTGAAGTTAGATTTGTAAAGAAGTGCCGCTTTATGTGAGTGCTTGGAGCGTTGTTGTTAAAGAGAGTGCTTGTTCATGAATTTGCTTTAGATCCAATAGGAGTTCTGTCTCGGTGCGATTTCATCTGAGGGAATTTTTCACAAATCTCTCTTAGCCAATAGAAAATCTTGTCTTTTAATTTGGTTTAATTCCTCCGTAAGATTGAGACATTATTTCGTGAAGAATTGTGGGAGCTAACACTTGTGAGTTGGGTGTAATTGGGGGCTGTGAAATACTGAGAATATTTGAGTGCTTCAAGTGTGGTTGTAATCTCTATTATACCACTTGATCTATAATGCAATTTTGTACTGCCCTCCCCGTGGACATAGGTCGCATTGACCAAATTAGGCAACTCTAGTGTCCAATTTTTTCATGGTTTGTCTATTTTACTATTCGATCACTTGTTTCTACAACAATTGATATGAGAGCCCAGCTTTAGCTGAGTTGAAGCAAATCAATAGCGACAGAAGAAGGAAAAGTAGAATTGATAGATTTGATAGGAATGATGTTGGTTTCTAGAAGATGTGGATTGAGGATTATCTCTACCACAACAATTTGCACTTTCCCATATTTAGGAAGAAACCAGAGTCGATGAGCAAGCTGAATGGGAATTACTAGATAGACTAGCGCTAAGTGTTATTCGGCTGAAGTTGGCTGGTAAAATCGTGTTTAATATCATGATACCTCTATGGGACTAATTAAGGCCCTATTGGACATGTACAAGAAGCCTTCTACAATCAACAAGGCTTACTTGATGTGACGTTTATTTATCTTGAAGATGGACGAAGGTCCGTCAATTGCTGATCATACCAATGAATTAAATGTGATTGTTAGTCAATTGAGTTTAATTAACTTTGATGATGAGATATGTGCTTTAATTCTATCATTCTCATTGCCTGATAGTTGGAATTCTACTATTACTTATTCTTCTAGGTCAACAAGCTGGACCTTTGATGGGATTCGTGATTTGATTCCAAGTGAGGACATCTATAGAAGATAATTTGGTAAACATGTGTCTGCTACTTTAGTAGGTGAAAATAGAGGAAGAACTAGTACTCGTGTTACCAGGAGTATAAACCTGAACAGACATAATCGATCTAGAACTAATGGTGTTGTCTGTTAGAGTTGTGGCAAGATGGTGCATCTTAGAAAAGATTTCCTTAAGCTAAAGAACGGCGAGGGTAAGGGAATTAGCATTGAGTCTACTAATGATGTTGCAGCTGTAGCTAAATATAATTTAAATAGTGCTAATTATGTCTTGTCTTTCATTTAGGATTCGTTGTTTGACAGATGGATATGGATTATGATTGTTCATTTCACGCTACACCAAATTGGAACTGATTCACTACTTACCAATGCATAAATAGTAGTAAAGTACAGTTAGGGAAAAATGCTGAGTGCGATGATGTGGGTGTTGGTGAGTCAAAATCTAAATGCATGATGGTATCATGTGGACATTAAATGGAGTGATGCATGTTCCAAATTGAAGAAGAATCTAATTTCCTAAAAGTGCCCTGGATTCAGTTGGATATCGATATACTTTAGAAAGTGGAGTTCTGAAGGTTGTTCGAGGTGCCCTGGTGATAATGAGAGAAAAAAAAAAAAGAAGCACAATGGCCTATATGAGTTTCAAGGTGAGATAGTAACGGACTTCGTCATGAAGACGTAATGCATCTATTCGAGAGTTTAAATTGTGGCATATGCAATTTTAGAGCACATTGGCGAGAGAAGCTTGAAAATTCTAAGTGAAAGGAATTTGTCATATGGTTATGTTGCTAATAAATTGAATGTATGCAGTTGTTGTGACTTAGGTAAATGGTGGAAAGTGCAGTTCAGTTTGACTATCAAAGAAACCACGAAGATTGGAGAGTTGATTCACTTGGATGTTCACAGGCTGTCAAGGTTTCCTTCAAGGAAGAGTGTCAGATTTATGCTTATAGTTATGGATGGCTACTTAGGAATACATAGGTATTTGTGCTTAAGCACAAGTTTGATATTGTTGTCAACATTAAGCAGTTGAAAGCTTTGATAGAATAAGAAACTAGTAAGATGATCAAGCATGTGTAGATTGACAATAGCATGGAGTTCTACTCGGAACTGTTGAACGAATTCTGCATGAAAGAAGGCATATTGAGATAGTGCACTAGTGCTAGTGAACCACAATATGTTGTAAAGTTGATGGGCAGAACATTACTAGAGGGCATTACTAGAGATGGCTCATAAAATGCTTTCTAGTGCTGGTATGACTAGGAAATTCCTGGGAAATGCGCTTAGTACGACGAGCTACCTCGTAAATAGATCCCCGTCGACTGCAATGAGATGTCGGACTCCCGAAGAAGTGCAGCAAGTAACGTTGTCAATTATTTTGTTTTACGAATATTTGGTTGCCTATGTTATGTTCGAGTAAGTGATGGTAAGCTCGATGGTAGAGCAAGAAAGCATATGTTCCTAGGCTATGCATAAGGTGAGAAGGGCTATTGGTTGTGGTGCCTAGAGCTAAATTCACCTGTTGTCAATTGAGAAGTTATATTTGACGAGTCTCTAGTACTTCTAGGTAGGATTGTTATTAGCAGTATTTATATGGATCTGGACAGTGCTTAGCTCGATGTAGAGTTGCAACCAGAAACTCTTGAGTTAATGGGTTCTAGCACGGTAATTGACATAAATGGTGCTTGTAGCAAGGTGGAGCCTGTAGAACCAACGATTACTATAACTATTGTCGCGATCGACCTCCGTTTTTTATTTTAAAAAAAAACGAGGGTCTCGCCTGGTACACGTTAAGTCTAAATTGGGGACTTAACTTGGGCTCTCCTAAGCCCATACTATATCGCGACTTAGGGTTTAGAATTTTAACTTGCAAGTGATTTTTATCTAGGAGTTGTCACTAATCAGTTTGGGGTGGGTCGATTAGAAACCCAAGTAAGGTGACGGGAGAATCACCTTATTCCTACGAACCAGAGATTAAATGAGTTCGGGGACTTGGTTACACTAATTAAATAACTAATACCCTTTCGGTACCTTTAACCCCTAAAACAAAAACATTTTTTCATTTAGTCGCATGGCATATAGACATTAGGCATATTTGCATTAATTTAACTAATTAGAACATATTTTTATTAAAAAAATATAATAAAAAATATACAAAAAAAAAATTCTAATCGGGCTGGGTTGTGGCCAGGTCGACCCAGCCCTCTCCTTTCTTCCCCTGGGCTGGGCCCCTTTCTTTTTTCTCTTCCCCCTTCCCTTTGCACGAGACGGGCCCAGCCCACTTCCCCCTGCAAGTGAACTGGCCCGGCCCAGCTCCCTCTCTCCTTCCCTCTCCCTTCCTCTCTCCCCTGTCGTGGTGGCCGATCCACAGCCGAGCACAGAGGTGGCTGGTGGACAACCAAGCAAAAATGAGCACACCAGAGTGTCGGGCAAAGAGATTAGAGCAGACATTGAATGGCCCAGAGGGAGCAAGCAGACCGCCGCCGGCCAGTATAAAAATCGGAGAGGAGAGAGAGACCAAGGAGCTTTTTTTTCCAAAGAAAAAACAGAGAGAGAAGAGTGAAAAGAGAGAGACATAAAGCAAATAGAGTGAGAGTGAGTGGAGACAGGGCGTGAGAGAGTCCCAGGCAACCTTGCCATTGCCTACAAGCCGACCGACGACCCCCTAGCCGGAGCCGAACCGGTAAACTTCTTGGCCCCCCTTGTTTTGCCTTGTTTTTTGAGCAGGTTAACCGGAGCTCGAAGTATCCGTCTTGCGTGAACTCCGGTCCATGCTGTCCTCATCCCTAATCCAGGCATCACCATAGGGAGTGTGTTGTGGTTGTGTGTTGTGGTTGTCAGCGCTGGTTTGAGCCTTGAGAAAGGTAGAGAACCCCTCGCTCCAGTCATGCATCCTACCTGTTTGATGAATTGCCTGAGGGATTTCCCCTATGGATCGGCCGGGGAGCTGTGGCTCTGATGGTGGCCGTCGGGTGGCTGGGCAAGGCCGAATGGAAGCCAAAAGTGGCTAGGTGTGGTAAGCCAAGCCTCTGCTGGAGCTTGGGCGCAAGATGCCCAAGCTGAGGCTTGGCCGGCAGTTACTTTGGTCAGCCATGAAGGGAGCTCCTCGGCCTGAGGTGTCGAGGCTACCGCCGGCCGGATGCCTGTTCTTGGCCTTTTGCCGAGCCTCAGGTGCCTCAGGGTCGGTTGGGTCTACGGAGCCGAGTCGGACTCAGTCCGCGAGTTCTGGCTGACCCGGGCCGGCCTTTTTTTGGGCCGGGCTCGGTTTGAATCCGGAGATCCAACTTGAGTCCATTTATAGATAATAATATTATTTTAATATTTTAAAAAGTATCTTTTTTAAATTAAAAATATAAATAATTAAGAAAAATCCATTTTTTCGAAAGTCAATAAATAGTATTTGGGCTTCGAAATTGCCATTTCTTGCCCTTTTTGTGTGATTAATGCCATGCTTGATTGCCCATTGTTTACTTTGCATGTTTGAATTGCGTGTTTTATTCGACCTTTCAGATGGTTGATTGGAGGCATGTTAGGCCATTGCTTACGCACTTCCAATGCAATGATTGTTGTTTCCCTAGTCAGGTTAGGATTAGAACCCTTGGATTCACAAATCGATAGGAAGATTGCATGAACACTTTAGGTGGTGTTTAGGTACCGAAAGGGTACTAATTAGATAACTAGTGTAATCAAGTCTATGAACTCATTTGAATCTTCGGTTGGTAGGAGTAAGACGATTCTTCCATCGCCTTATTTGGGTTTCTAATCGATCCACCCAAAACTGATTAATGGCGACTCCTAGATAAAATTGATTTGCATGTTAATAACTTGAACCTTTAGTCGTGAGTTGGTATGAGCTTGGGAGAGCCCGAGTTAAGTCCTAGATTTAGCAATCCATTAGCCTTAAACCTCTGGGGGTCCTGAGGGCCGCCGCGGGGCGGTCGCGACAACTGCTTCATCAAAGCTTCCTTAAATTGCTCGAGTCCATTGAAACCCATGGACAAGGCAAATTGAGGGATGGATGTGGTTGAATTTCTGCTCCTCCTCCTTGCAGTCTCTTCTTTCTCTGAATCCTCTTCATCACTTGTATCAAAACTCCAGTTGGAGTCAGCAGCATCAAATTCTTCAGTATTAGCCCAAGATCTGTCTGTTTGGTTAGTTTCTTTAGTGATCTTTCGTCTTCTTCTACCTTATCATTTTGAACCACATAATCTACAGAATTCCCCTCTTTTCCCTGTATTTATTTTTCTTTTCTTTTTTCGTCTTTTCTGGAGCTGCTTCCACTAGTCTTTCATTATTTACAGTTTTACAATAACATATTGTATCACAGCATCTTCTACCCCACCAATCAATCCATTCAAACCGTTAGCAATACCAACATCTTCCACAATGACATCATGTGCCCCACCACTCACAGCCCGCATTTGTTCTTCCTCTTCCGCTTATATTTGACATACTTCTGCGCCCCCCCCCTCCCCAACCCATCAATCCAGTCGAATCATTTTGTCATTGCCCCACCACTCACAGCCTGCATTTGTTCTCCATGTTCTGCATATATTTGACAATACTTAACCCACCAAATAATCAGTCAAGTCATTAGCAATAGCAACATCTTCCACTGGACATAATGTGCCCCACCACTCACAGCCTGCATTTGTTCTCCATGTTCGTCAAACATTTGACAATACTTAACCCCACCAATCAATCCAGTCAAATCATTAGCAAGACCAACCTCTTCCACAGTGATATCATGTGCCGCACCACTCAGCCTGCATTTGTCCTCCATGTTCTTCTGCATATATTCCACAATACTTTTACCACTCTTGCACTTGACTACTGTCTAACCATTTCCAAAATACAGCTGTCATTATAAAGCATTTCCGCACAGATTACAAGTAACATCATGCAGACCGCCTTTGAATAAAGAAACCCTAATCTTTTTGCTTTAACCCTATTTGCTTAATCTTATCTTCAATTTGTTTCCCAAAACCCTAATTTTCCCCTTTTTTTTGCGCGACCCCAATATTTTCCCCCTTTTTAGCTAAGCCAAATTGTTTTGCCAACATATTTGCCACGTTGGAGGTTAGATTGCAATGTAGCACGCCACATTGAGTGGATAGGTGAAAACAAATGTGATTTAGGGTCCATTTGTTTGAAGGAAACTCTTTTCGGAAAATTATTTTTTGACTTTTTGGTGTTTGAATGACAAAAACTAATCAATTTACGAAATATATTTTCCATGGACCGAAAATAACAAGCTTAGACTAGGAAAAACAACTTCTCTTTCTAGCGAAAATGAAATCACTTTCCCTCGACAATTAAACAATTGAAAACTTAACAATTTTCCTTGAAAATGTTTTTCATAGAAAATATTTTCCTTTATTATGTAGTTTTCAATGAAACAAATGCACCATTAATGTGAAAATGTCCATGTTATCATTTTTCATGCAGTGGGTTTAAAGAAGGATGAATATAAAAGAGGCCAAGTTTAAGGACCAAGGAGTTTAGGACTTGATTACACAATTTGCTAAAGTCCAGAGACGAATGATGCTTTTTCCCTTTGCAAGATCTTTTGATTTCAGCTTTAACTTTCATGTCATGTTTGCTCTTTGAAATGTACCTTGTGAGTAGGAAAAATTCTCAATGAGGGCTTGAAGTGAGCTCATTTTCTCAAAAGAGGACCCGAGTGAACTTTATATTAAATAAGGGTCTGAAGTAATTATCTCAGTTTCAAATAAGAGCCTAGCAAGCATATGCATCTCAAATGCCATTTTCCAAGCTATGGTTGGGGGATTTTCATCGAGAGATTTTTTCCTTTCTTTTTTTTTACTTTTACTTTTTTCTCTGTTCATCTCCTTCCTCCTTTTCCGTCCAGCCAACTCTTTGGTTCATCTTGTTGTCTTGAACGTGTGAGCATCTTCATGTCTCCAATTCTCATTGAAATCTTCCGTTTGGGTTATATGATAAGTTCTTCTTGTTAGAGGATTTGTGAAAGACTGAAAATTCCGATTATTAATGGATGAACAAAAACCATACATAATCAGAGTCGAATGCGGAAATGTGAAAATTTTTGTACTAATCTCCGGCCATTGATGAAGTTCGATTTGAAGAGTCGAATGTGGAAACGTGAAAAATTCTGTACTAACAATCGGTGAATGGGTACTTATAGCAAATTGCCCTTTTAACATTGATGGTGTGTTTTTCTATACTGAGGGGTTTGGTTTAGACTTATTTATATTCCCATTGGCATGCCTCTTTAGATAACTTCTTCCATCAATATAATTATCTTAATATTGGGCGACCACCATAGTTATCACGCAGCTTAATGCGGACAATAAAATGTCAATGAAATTAATGTGGGCAATAGTAAACTGAATGTGGGATCATGTTGTTGATCGGTATGATAAAATTCTCCCACTTGATCCCAACGTTTCATTAAATGAAATTTTGAACCAAATCCATAAAAACTTCATGCTGAAGACACATGAATCACGGCAATAAGTCCTCTTAGAACGAGTATTATCTTCCATGTATCACAATGCACCTTATCTCTTCAAATTGGCCTATACGTGAGAACATAATTTAATGAATAAACTTTATGTTTATTCTAGGTCAAAAATGATGTGTACACTAGAATTGAGAAAAACATTAGAAATGAATAAAAGTTTCACAAATTCGTCCATATGAAGAACATTTACATGATTGGACCAATTCCCATCCTAACCACGTGATCCATATAATTCATTGGTGGTATGCCTTTAGTTAAAGGATAATCTAAGATCAATTAAGTGCTAACGTGATCTATAGCCACTTTGTTCTCTTTAACGCGTTCCCTTATGAATAAATACTTGATGTTGATGTGCTTACTTCGACTACCACTTTTGTTGTTTTTAGCCATCAAAACCGCAGCTGAATTGTTACAATGTATCCTTAATGGCCTAGCAATGGAAGCCACAACTCTAAGCCCTAATATGAAACTCTTCAACCAAACAACATACGAGGTGGCCTCAAAACAAGAAACGAACTTAGCCTCCATAGTGGAAGTAGCAATTAAAATCTGCTTTGCACTCCTCCAAGACATGGCTCCACCATCAAACATAAAAAAGTATCCATATGTTGATTTTTGAGAATCAACGCAACTAGCAAAGTCTGAATCCGAATAACCAACTATTTCCAAGTTGTCAGTTCGTCTATATATAAGCACGTAACCTTTTGTACCTTAAAGGTACCTTATCACCTTCTTTGCAGCTCTCCAGTGGTCCATACATGGATTACTCTGATATCCTCCCAACATTCCCACAACAAAAGCAATGTTAGGTCGAGTGCAAACCTGAGCATACATCCAGCTTCCGACATCAGAAGCATATGTGATGTTTTCCATTTGTTCCCTTTCTAGATCATTCTTCAGGCACTAGTTCAAATTGAACATGTCACCCTTCATAATAACTGATATACTTGGTGAACAATCTTTCATTTGAAATCTCTCTAAGACTTTATTGATATAGATTTCTTGATATAGTCCTAAAATGCCTCGAGGTCTATCCCTATAGATCTTAATACCAAATATATAAGATGCCTCACCATATCTTTTATGTCAAAACTCTTAAAGAGAAATTGTTTCACTTTACGTAGCAATCCCATATCATTGGTTGAAAGTAAAATGTTAGCCACATAGAGGACAAGAAAACAAATTTTGCTCCTACTGACCTTCTGGTATATATATTGATCCATGACATTCTCTACAAAATCAAATGAAGAGATGACATCATGGTACCTTAAGTACCATTGGCGGTATGCTTGTTTTAAGCCATATATAGATTTCTTAAGCTTGTACACCTAATGCTCACCATTACTAGAGGAGATCCTTCTGGTTATTTCATGTAAACCTTCTCCTCTAGTTCTCCATTGAGGAACGCCATTTTCACATCCATTTGATACAATTCCATGTCAAAATGGGCAACCAATGCCAAAACGATACGAAGAGAATCTTTCTTAGATACAAGAGAAATGTCTCTGTGTAATTGATTCCCTTCTTTTGAGTGAATCCTTTGACAACGAGTCTAGCTTTATATCTCTCAATGTTGCCCAATGAATCCTTCTTAGTTTTGAAGACTCATTTATAACCTATGGCCTTCGCTCCATTGGACAACTCAACCAAATTCCAGATTTTGTTAGATGCCATAGAAATCATCTCTTCTTTCATGGCATTATACATCAAATTTGATTCATCACAACTCATGGCTTGTAAAAACGTTTCATGATCATTCTCAGCTCCAACATTATAGTTAGTTTCTTGTAGATACACAATGTAATAAGGGTTAATACCATGAAAAACCCCAAACTGGCACACCTGTAATAAATTTATTCTAAACTATTTTTTTGACCATAAAAAATCCCAAACTGGTTACTTGTGACAATTTTACCCTGAACTATTTTTTTGACTGCCAAAAACCCCATAGTGGTACACTTATGATAATTTTACCTCGAACTAATTTTTTGACCATCAAAAATCTCAAACTGGTACACCTATAACAAATTTACCTTCCGTTAATTTCCATTAAATTTTATTATTAAATTGCTAAGTTTGATTACATGTGGTGGTTGATGGGTGTACTGATTTGGGTTTTATTTGTCATAAGTGTACTAATTTGTGATTTTTTGTGATATCAATCCAATTTAACGGATACTAACGGAGGATAAATTTGTCACAAATGTACTAGTTTGAAGTTTTTAGTGGTCAAAAAATTAGTTTTGGGTAAAATTGTTACAGGTGTACTAGTTTGAGGTTTTTAGTGGTCAAAATATTAGTTTGGAGTAAAATTATCACAATTGTATCAGTATGGTTTTTGGTTGTCAAAAAAATAGTTCAGGGTAAATTTATCACAGATATACCAATTTGGAGTTTTTGATGGTCAAAAAATTAGTTCGGGGTAAAATTATCACAAGTGTACTAGTTTGGGAATTTTCATGGTATTAACCTATATAATCCCTAGAAATTGCTTATTTCTTCATTTTAGCAAATCTTCTTAACGTTGCATCAACATTCTCTCGAGGAGCGTGTTGCTCAACTAGTTGCTCAACAGTTTCTGATATTTGCTGTAACGCCCCCACCTCGGGGTTATTCATGTGACGTCCCGTTCATTATTATCTTTCGTTACATACAAGCGGAAGCATATCTCGGGACAATCACAATCAATACACACAGCGGAATTTAGAGAAGTAGCATCATGAGCAAACCTTATGCAAACATATTTTAACAAGCCCGTTCTTTTGGGTCATGGCAATTATCACATATTTTCATAGCCGACTATGAATAGCAAAACTTGACTTGGGTTATCCTATACCCACTACGGCTTCTCGCTCCTCGCTTCTTCACCTCGACCCTGGTCCCGTCCCCCTGGCCATCTCACATCCCACACGTGGCTTTATCCCGGAGCCGGCCCACCCGCACCGCCAAAGCACCGTTGAACCCACATAGGGATCCAACCCATTCTCTTTTCGCATAGCAATACCACGCCACGTACGGATGAGGCACCAAGTCCGTTAGGCCCTCATCGAACATCACAAGCGTCGTGATTCGGCGATAGGCGCGGTCTTCTCTGACATCTATCACGGTGAGCATTTCGGCTCTCTGCTCCACGGGATTGCCAGCGCGGGCTGGCGGAGATGCCATCCTACGGACCTGAAAAAGGGAAACAACGGGGGATGAGTCGGGGAGACTCAGCAAATGAAAACACTAATATCAAGTGAGGGATATATCGATCGTCGTTAACATAAGTCGGGCCTTACCGCACCCACATCGATGGCAGATCAATAGCAAAGTTCAAACAAGAGAACATCACGCATGGCCACATCATGTACACTTTACCAACCAATGCTCAGTTCTATCTCAAAACAACATCAAACATGAAACATGATTAAACTAAGAAAATGAACGAACTATGATCAACCAAACGACCAAGAAACATTCCAAACAAACCACGTCACAACGTATCTCAACATCCTTTCCCGATATTAGGGAATTTACTTACACAACGACAAACAAAACGGGGTTAGAGACGGGTGAGCTCGGGAAATTTCAGGCTTTCTTCTTGCTTTCTCCTTGTTTGGCCGACCAAGACTAGGCCTACGAAGGCCAAACCGTGGGCTCTTGGACGGAAACGAGTAGAAACACGGGCCGGTTTGGGACTTCTAGGGCGTGAGGCTTCTCAAGCCAAAACGTGAGAAAATCAAGAAACAAAAGGGAGAGGAAGATGGTGGATGGTGTTGGCGTGAGAAGAGAAGAGGGGGGTGTCTTGCTATTTATAGAACCCTTGGAACTTCCTAGAAAAACCTAGACTAAGCCAATAAGAGAGGTTCTCTAAGTCAAATGTTATGATGGCATGCATTAAATGTCATTAATGACTAAAGCCAAAGGAAAATGATGAAGGGCCAAGCTTATCTTCACCTCATTGGCTCTCTCTCCCTCTCGGCTTCTCTCCCTCTCTCCCTCTCTCTCTCCTCTTGGCCGGATGGCCTTCTTTCTATTTATAAGACTCCAACTTGCTCCTCACTCAAGACCATTAATGCATGTCATGATGAAGGGGGCCTCAAAGTCTTCGTTCATTTATTGCATATCATCATGACAGGAGGCCTCAAAGTCCAAGCTAATTAATATGGCTTGGGGAAGAAGATTTGACTTGGTCCAACCTTATCTTCTAGTTCATTCTACAATTTTCCAAAACGTGAAGCCAATCTAAGTCCTCAAAAAATGCTCGTTGCACCTACAATTAACTCAGGTCAACCGGGGTGCACAAGATTGACTAATCGAAGCCAAAATCGCAACCCCCCATCATACTTGTTTCCTCTATTTTTCGAAGGTTTTCCGCAACAAAACAATATTAATAATCCCATTACCGACCCTCAGGTCGTATCATTCGCCCAATTTATTACCATTTACCTGCGGCTTCCCAGGCCCAAAAATCGGGATGTGACAATTGCTGAACAACTATATCTACCCGATCAATATCAACAGGTTATGGAGCTTCAATGATTGGTTGTTCAACAGCCAACTGAGCTGAAGGAGTGTTATGAATAACAACCAATCTAATACTTGAGATGGAAGGTTGGTATCTGAATGATCTTTATCAATAACAAGGTCCCTGAATTGATCACTCTCACTAATTAAGTCATTTTCAAGAAACTTAGTGTTTATCAATTCCACAATCCTAGTGGTGTGAGATGGACAATAAAATCTGTACCCAATGGACCTTTCGGCATATCCAATGAAATACCCTCTTATAGTCCTTGGGTCTAACTTCTTTTCCCGTGGATTGTAGACTCTCACTTCAGACGGGCATTCCCAAAGGCGTACATGTCGCAAACTCGATTTTCAAGCTTTGAATAACTCAAAAGGAGTTCTTAAGACAGCCTTGGTCGAAACTCGGTTCAATATGTACACTGCTCTCTTAAGAGCTTCAGTCCACGAGGACTTCGGAAGTTTGGAGTTGCTAAGCATGCTCCGAACCATGTCGAATAAAGTTCGGTTTCCTCTTTTTTCTACACCATTTTGGTCCAGAGAACCAGGCATGGTATATTGAGCCACTATCCCATGCTCTTCAACAACCTTCGCAAATAGACCAAGTGCTTGTCCATTTTCAGTGTATCTACCATAGAATTCGCCTTCTCTATCTAATCTCACGATCTTAATTTGCTTACTGCATTATTTCTCTACTTTGGTTTTAAATACCTTAAACGCTTCGTGCTTATTATGAAGCAAGTAGAGATACATGAAACATAAGTGATCATCTATGAAAAAGATGAAGTACTTTTGACCGTACAAGTCCATATCTGGACTACAAATGTCTGCATGTGTGATTTCTAATATTTTCATACTCCTCTTGACACCTTTCTTTGTCTTGTTAATCTACTTTCCCTTTATACAGTCCACGCAAGTGTCATAATCAGTAAAATCCAAAGTACTAACTACTCCATCATTTACTAATCACTTAATTCTATCTATGGAGGTATGTCCCAATCTCTAGTACCACAACATAGATGAATCTTCATTCACAACACATCGTTTTATACCAGTGTTATCATGAACATGTATCGCATTATAAAGTTCATTGTCTTGTAAATTAATTCGGAAAGGACCATCAGACAAAATACTACTCTCAACAATTTCAGATTTAAACAATAAACTGAAGGTTGAATCTAAAAAGTTAAAGTAATAATCCAATGATAATAGTCTTGAAACTGAAATCAAGTTTCTAGAGAAACTACGAAAATAAAAGGTCCTTTCCATATTCAAAACAAAACCATTATGGAGAACTAATATGCATGTCCCAATAGCTTCCACATGCAAATGCATCTTGTTTGCTGAATAGATGCATTGTTCACTTTCCACTAGTTTCCGGTGGTTTTAAAAACCCTGCAAGGAATTTGAAATGCGGATTCTAGGTTTAGAATCAATCCACCAGGTGTTGTGACTCACATCAACCATATTAGATTTATAACAAACACATGAGATTGGATTGATTTTCTTCTCAAGCCAGGCCTTAAAGTTGACGCGATCCTGCTTCATATGCCCCTTCCTTTTACAAAAGAAGCATTTGGATTCCTTTTTAATGTCAGCTTGAGGAGGTATCTTACCCTTTCCCTTTTGCTTGCCTTGCTCCTTATACTTTTCTTGTGTTGTCAAATGAGCACTTTCTCCCGATTCCATAAGTAGCCCTTCTTCCTCTTGAACACACATGTTCATGAGTTCATTAATTGACCATTTATTTTTATGTGTAATATAAGAGATCTTGAAAGGTGCATACTATTGTGGGAGAGTGTTTAGAATGTAGTACATAAGAAAAGATTTAGATATCTCAACCTCAAGGTTCCTCAGCTAAGCCACAATGTCCTTCATTTTCATGATGTGCTCACGTACACCTCTAATACTAGTGAGCTTCAATGATGAAAACATCATAATTAGGGTCCTGGCATGCGCCTTTTCCGAATTTTTAAATTGCACATCAATAGCCTCTAGCAATATTTTGGCATTGTTATGCTGAGCGATTGAACCACGAACACTAGCAGAAAGTTTAGTCCTTATGAACATTATACTAAGGCGATTGAACCGCTTCCATTGTTCATAAAGAGCAAGTTCAGCTGGAGTGCTAGCATCGGTAGGAGTAGGTAGTTCATCTTTCCGAATAGGATAATCAATGTTCATGCACCCTAATTGAAGAAGGATTAATTCATTCCAAACTTTATAGTTGTCATCGTTTAACGTGGGAATATTAAAATCAGAAAATTTCACAGGTGGTGAAACTGTATAATAAACAAACATGCTTCTGTCAAAAAATTTGAGGCAAATTTACAAAAAACATGTTTTCACTATGTAAAACATGTCACAAGATATGAATCAAATAACATCAAAAACTGCATGCGGGCTAAGTATCTAATTTAAATAGATTCATAATTACTTTATGAAGAAACTATCATATTATATTCCCTTTTCTTAATCCATGAGGGTAAATTAAGAAAGATAATTTGCTATTTCATCCTAATTAATCATATTAATATAATAAAAATTTCTTTGGAAAAAAATTATTATATTGATACGATTAATTAAAATCAAAGTCCCTTTTCTATATATGATCCAAAGGCCCTTAATATATATAATTTAAGATAATTAGAGATGTTGTGGCTAATCTTCAATTAAACAAAATTATATATGGATGACTAGAACTTTAATTTCATGCACAAAACATTCACCAAATTACATGCAAGGGAAAAACAGGAAATTCGTGTGGCCAACCAAGGGCAAAATAGTTAATGCACAAGTAGGGTCCGCACGGGCACGTGTAACACACACACCCATTCCACTACGTGGGCGGGTACTGTGCATGCCCCTGACCAACCACACGAGTGAGTGGTGTGCACGTGCCTAAAGCCTCCGCACGGGTGGTTTTCTCTTCATCACGCAAGTCTCAGCGGTCCTTGTCTCTGCTACGCCTTCCACTGCCTGGGTCTCCTTTGAGAGCCCATCTTTGACCAAATTAAGTAGTTTGGAGACCATGCCAGTGTGACCACAAAGGTCCAAGGATCGGCGAAAACGGCCATGAAATCGGCCGGAATCAAGCAAATTTTCATCGGATACAAACCCTAACCACTGCAACTTTCGCTGCTGAATTAGCCTCCGATGATCACCCTAATGCCGGATTAACTTATGGCTTTTCTTGCCCATGGCGGTGCGACCATAATGGTCCGAAGCCAGGTGGTGGGTCACCTAAATTTGGCCAGAATCAGCAATTTGTCTCTCGGCCAGAAATTGCTCTGGTTTTCAATTCATTCAAAACCCCACGAAAAATCATCAAGGCAGAGTTATTAAGAGGCTATGATACCAACTGTTAGAGGATTTGCGAAAGACTAAATATTTTGATTATTGATGGATGAACAAAAGCCATGAATAATCACAATAAAATTCTATACTAACCTCCAGCCATTGATCAAGTTCGATTGAAAACCAGATTTGCAGAGACTTGAACGATCGGTGAATAGGTACTTCTGGCAATTGCCCTCTCAACGTTGATGATGTGTTTTTCTATACTAAGGGGTTTGGCTTACACCTATTTATATTTCCACTGGCACCCCTTCAGATTACTTCTTCCATCAAGACAGTTATCTTAACATTGGACGATTACCATAGTTATCACGCAGCTTAATATGGATAATAAAATGTCAATGAAATCAATGTGGGCAATAATAAACTGAATATGAGATCACATTATCAATCCGTATGATAACACTTTTCTGAGGCGCAAGACCCACTTAGTTCAATCTTTCTCTATTGCACTCCTCTTCTAGTTTTATGTTTTCTCATAATTTATATGCCTTCAGTTCTTGAACGCATAATTTAAATAAAGCATTGAAATATGAAAATAGCATTATTATTAAGTAAAAAAGAAGTCGGGTCTCCGGAAAGTCTTGACACTGATTCGAGAAACAATGCAACAAGGGTTCTGCAACTCATCCAAGTAAATTGTGGACGATGGAAGGAAATGCATCGTTTCCGCTTAGAAAAGATGGCATGCTCTGTGTGATGTCCCAGTGTTAGACTAGTGACTTCTCACTTGCACAGCGGGGAGCTTCGCCGAATGAGTGAATGAGGAAATGAATTGGATTGCAGACCTATAATACCCAGCTCGTCCTCGACATTATGAAGTGTCCTCATGGGACTTCGTCATGCCTTTTGGTAGTTGAAGGTTTGGTTAGATCATTCAGTCCTGATGAGTTCTCAGTTTTTCGGCAAAATTCAAATTAGCCATTGTTCTACTTGAAAGGAATCCAAAGTTTTACTGGCATGCTCTTTGAATCAGCCAAACATCATTAGGATCTGGGTCTCCTATGTTTTTCTCTAATAGTCGACTCAGATCTTCGAATAATATCATAATTTGTAGTATTCATTAGTATTCTTTAGGTTATTGAAGTTGATTTTTTCAACTTGCACTTTCTTGAGGTAATTTCTTCACCTCATCGTCCCACTGATGTCATGCAAGTGAGCTTGTAGATAATAGGTTTCATGTGCAATTGTCCCTTTCAGTAAGGATGTTATATCAATTGAACAAAGGAGCAGGTTCTTTAAGAGGAATTAATGACGTGAGGCTTGTCTCCTGTACTTGTACCAATTCATTGCATCAAGTTGGTGCATAGTCCAAACACTATTTGTGAGATTTTTCTGTGAAATCAAACTCTATGATCCAGTTAGTGTGGCTGATGAAAAAACCTAGAAGGATGAATTCTTTTGTTTCCTTGAACTTTTTTTATGATCCTAATGTCCTCTATGACTACGAAGAATTCGTAAACATGGTGGATAAACAGTTGTTCGCACCAGGAGAATGATGCTCTGGATCTGTACATTCTCTCAGTCACTTAGATAAGGTCGATGATTCATGTTTGACTCTCCTATTCAGAGACCTGATCTCGAGTCCTTGTACTTGTCCTGTTATGTTTTTTCTTCACTTACCAACTGTAGGGAAAATGTTTGCTGAAGAATCGACTAACCTTTCGATGCCCAATAAAAGAATTACTCAGGAATGTGAATTGAATCACCAACGAATGTTGGACGAATTTACAACTTCACACCGGTCCGAATATAATCACAAGGAAAATATTCTTGTTCCATAGCGTTAATACTGATCGTTTTCTCAAAGTAACGATGGAACCCTTCGTGTGTGTTTTATGAATTGAGAGGAAACGTACGTTCTTTTCTATACGTTGTCTTTCTTTTTTATTTTGTCTCTCATAAGGAAGTTATATTAACTTCGCTCAATAGAGAACCAATGAAACCTCTTCAAGGGGTGCCTCTCAAACATACATCTCATCATAGGCGAAACGGTGCCATTTAACATCTCCCACTCGAACATGATGGGCTTGACAATGCTCTATCAAGAATATGAGGCATTCAACATTCATCTACTTTAGAAACTATTCATACTGGTAAAAAAACCGTGTGGCCAGTGAGTACACCTGCACTTGAGAGCTCAAATTATGCACTTGTTAGGGATATCAACGGCCACAACCCAAAAAGAAAAAATAAGTAA